ATTTTTTCATGAGGTGTAACAATCACAGTGACACACTGACTTAGTTAGGTTAATGTTTTAATTAACCAATTATTTATTCTGTGTTAATTACTGCCGGAACCGTTGCGTTTTTTTATTCCGGTAAATGATCCATTACCGAATGTGGGGAATGTATAATGTATGATGGGTCTAATCGACGAGACCAAAGGGAAGATAACTTGTCGAACATGCGTGTTACAACTCTGGCGAGGTGACACAGACGTTATTAACTCCCTTGGCCAGGAAAAGTGGGACATGCAGGCTAACAGTAACCTTTTAGTGGACAGTCGGACAGTCATGATACTACATATTTTTCAGTCCACGACATAGAGTAAAATATTTGATTCAGTCATAGATCTATATATTTTTATTTGGTTTGATGATAACTATATTAAATATTTTCCGTACGTTTATATTTGGTTATAAAGTGTCTTTATTTTAAAAAATTGTCAGTAAATTTTCGTTTTATATTGTCATGTCTTTATTTAAAAGTTTTTCTTGGTTTTTCGCTGAGTCATGATAATGATTTGATTTTCTTTAGGGAATTCTAAAATACCTTGATCTAAATACTAAAATAATATATCGAATTATGTTGTTGTTTTTTTTTTTAAATAAAGAGATCTAAATGCTATATTTTTGGTAAATAATTATAATTATTCAACACTTGCTAATATTGCAAAACTTCAATTTAGTAAAGCCAAATTTTCTACTGAAGTCTGTCAATGTATTGCGCATCCTGGTTCCGTTCCAAAGTCGTATCGTGCACACAACTGCGATGTTCGTACAATGTTGTGTATTACATTCATGTAGTTTTAGCTTGTACATTTATTACATTCATGTAGTTGTAGCTTGTTACATTTATTACATTCATGTAGTTTTAGCTTGTTACATTTATTACATTCATGTAGTTTTAGCTTGTTACATTTATTACATTCATGTAGTTGTAGCTTGTTACATTTATTACATTCATGTAGTTTTAGCTTGTTACATTTATTACATTCATGTAGTTTTAGCTTGTTACATTTATTACATTCATGTAGTTTTAGCTTGTTACATTTATTACATTCATGTAGTTTTAGCTTGTACATTTATTACATTCATGTAGTTTTAGCTTGTTACATTTATTACATTCATGTAGTTTTAGCTTGACACATTTATTACATTCATGTAGTTTTAGCTTGTTACATTTATTACATTCATGTAGTTTTAGCTTGTTACATTTATTACATTCATGTAGTTTTAGCTTGTTACATTTATTACATTCATGTAGTTTTAGCTTGTTACATTTATTACATTCATGTAGTTTTAGCTTGCTACATTTATTACATTCATGTAGTTTTAGTTTGTTACATTTATTACATTCATGTTGTTTTAGCTTGTTACATTTATTACATTCATGTAGGTTTAGCTTATTACATTTATTACATTCATGTAGCTTTAGCTTGCTACATTTATTACATTCATGTAGTTTTAGCTTATTACATTTATTACATTCATGTAGTTTTAGCTTGAACATTTATTACATTCGTGTAGTTTTAGCTTGTTACATGTTTTAGCTGGTTACATTCATGTAGTTTTAGCTCGTTACATTCATGTAGTTTTAGCTCGTTACATTCATGTAGTTTTAGCTTGTTACATTTATTACATTCATGTAGTTTTAGCTTGTTACATTTATTACATTCATGTAGTTTTAGCTTGTCACATTTATATTTGGTGTAGCAAGGGAGAGGTGGGGATTTGGGATTAGTTTAGGGGGGGGGGGGGGGGGCATGAGAACTTTGAATCTTGGCCTAGATTCTATTTCCCCTTTGAATACTAAAACATGTAGACGTCTAGTTTGAAGCAATTTTTTAAAATAGATCTTTTTGAAAAGAACTGGCAGCTTCTGCATTTTTTAACCTCTCGTTTTATTGCGCACAAAAAAAAAAAACATTGGAAAATTGTGAAGACGGGGTCACGACTTCTGCTGGTAAATGGGGTGTTTGTTTTTACACACTCCTTAGAGCCGAGGCCGTGATTTTTTAAAGAAAATAACTTTAAATCTACCGCATACCGTTACCATCATTTTCTCAAAACAACTGATCCAATCCCCTCACCCCCACACCTAGCTCCCACCCCCATGGCTGAGATGTGAGTATTGTTATGCCCGAGAACCGCAGTGTGGAAAGGTAAAGAGCCGCTCCTACACGGCGAGGGGGGACGGGCTATAAAAGGCGGGGGAAGGAGTTTGACGCAACATTGAGTGGTGTCAAAAAGTGGGAATGATGGCTAATATACTTGTAACATTCGCGAAACAAATGATTCCTATTTGTGTGGTTTGGTGTGTTACGTTGGTGATGTTAGGGGAGACAAAACCCTCGGGAAACACGGAGACAAGAGCCAGGCATGTTTCGCCAGAGGTCAGTAAATGGGGCAGGACTATATCCGTGGTCACGCTTGTGGGTCGGTAGCTATTACAGATACACAGATCGTGTCAGATCGCACTTTTGTACCAAACTTGCTCAAGCAATGACAGTTATTTAAATAAAAATGACGAATATTGTTTTATTAAAAGATTGTACTCACTTTTTTAAAAGTACAATTATTTTCTTACATTTTCTCTGACAAAATAAAACCGTAATTAAATATTTTGTTATATTATTTTATTTGTGATCAATTAAATAAATGAAGCTATTAAAAAATATTAAACATAAAATGTTTAGAATCTTGCATCAGACAATAATATTTAAACTTTTTATTAGATGAATTACTGAGAAAAATATTTAATTTATTACATATCGTTTTGTTAAAGAAAATAATATGTGCACTTGTGAAGCTACTTATTCATCTAAGCGAAGCTAGCAATAATTTTTTGTTGTTTTAGCTGATAAATGTAAAAAGTCTTAATTTTTTTCTGCGTGTGCCCGGTTCGAGAAAATGTTGAAATTATTTTGATCAAGTATTTCAGGCAGGCATACAGTGTTTCTTCCAGGCATCTCTTGGTGGGGGGGGGGGGGGGGGAGGGGCTCTGCCGAAGAAAGTCTATCGCCCCCCCCCCCCCCCCCCGATGAAATTATATGTACATAGAAAACATATACTTTTACCAGTGTCCGCATCCCACCCCGGAAAATTTAGTCCGCCCCCCCCAACCCCACACACAAAATTTCAAGTGCCCCCACCCCCCACCCGGAGTAAAAAGTCTGGAAGAAACACTGCAGGCATATTATTAACATACCGTTCAAGTAATATTTTGGCTGCAATTGTCATCAACTGTTTTGTCTAGCAGAAAGATTTCATTCATAATCAGCTAGTTCAAGAGTTTTGTATTTAAGCTCAAACTTGTCAACAAGTCCTTCACGAGGGAGTCAGTACTTCTGTGTACGTCTTGTACGACTGTGTACGTCTTTTACAACTGTGTACGTCTTTTACAACTGTGTACGTCGTGTACAACTGTGTACGTCTTTTACAATTGTGTACGTCTTGTACAACTGTGTACGTCTTTTACAACTGTGTACGTCTTTTACAATTGTGTACGTCTTGTACGACTGTGTACGTCTTGTGCGACTGTGTACGTCTTGTGCGACTGTGTACGTCTTTTACAACTGTGTACGTCTTGTACGACTGTGTACGTCTTGTGCGACTGTGTACGTCTTGCACGTCTTGTGCGTCATGTATGACTATGTACGTCTTGTGCGTCATGTATGACTATGTACGTCTTGTACGACTATGTACGACGGTGTACGTCTTGTGCGACTGTGTACGCGAGTAATCGCGTGAGCGTGCGATGTTTGAAGTCGCGCCGGTTAGCTCGGTCAAAGGGCCGGTCAATTACCCGATGCACGACCTGATTAGCGTTAGCACTCCAGCTGTATGGTGTGGCTACATCATTTACATCATTTACATATGCCTGGCAGTATGTCACAGATACAGTGGCGGAGCTAGGGGTGGGCTTGTTGCTAAGGTTATATGGTTAGTCTGTGTGTGTTGCAACGGTGATAAATATGGTTGCTAGGGTAGTGCTATGGGGATACATGGTTGCTAGGGTTATATGTGGGTTGCTATGGTGATTTTAAGTCGACAGGATGATCAGTTGGTTGCTATGGAGCTAGAGGCTATAGATATAACCGTGGTACAAAAATCGTTAGTATGTCTTGTTTTTTCTTAGTCGATGAGCAAAACAAACTATTTTTAGTTGGTACAGGTGCGTGTAGGCGGGGAGGGGGGAAGGGGGAGGGAGGGCAAGCGATGGATCCGGTTGCAGACAGTAGATGTGCAGTGGGAGGGGAGGGTGGGTCTGTTTTGTCTTGGGTTGTTTACAAACATTGTTTACTTCATTAATAACTGTCATTTACACTGATGTTGTATTCCAAATACTAATGAATGGCCACGTTTCAGCGTGTACAACTATTTTGACGGGATGACGGTTAAACGTACAAAAAACTAGACGAGTCTATAATTTAAAAACAATGGTAACAAAACTGAATGTAAAAAGGAACCTTTTCAATCTCTTTTCAAAATGTCTAATGTATTTTTGGGGGGAACAAAAAGAATACAAACACATTTAGCCCAGACAATTTGTTCATTCGTTTCAAGCACATGCAGCAGAGAGAGCATGCACGGGTTCACTGGGGCGTGACATGCGCTCACACTTGACGCAAATCTGGGCTTTTCTTTATTTCTGCAAAAAAAAAAAAATTTTGTCTTTTGCTCTGATTGTTTAAGAGTGAACGTAAATACACAAAGACAGTTTGAAATTGTAATAAAATAAAATACTCCATAAGCTTATGTGTATAGCAATGAGCGGATATCTTGAAGAATTTTTATTACTTAGCCCCCCCCCCCCTCCCCCTCATATTTATTTATGTATAGCAAACTGAAAGGCCACATCCGCTTCTGAGTAAAAGTTACCAGACACGAACTGTATAATGAAATAAACGTGGGTCTAATTCTATCTTTTCACCCTATTTTAAAGGAGTTCCTAAGTTCTTTTGGATATTTCCACGATGACCGTCATCACGTCAATCACAACACATTCGAAAGGCAGCAAGCTGTTCGGTAAGTGGAACACATTAAGTGTAGGCCAATTGTTATAATTTTAAACAAAACACATTCGAAAAGCAGCAAACTGTTCGGTAAGTGGAACACATTAAGTGTAGGCCTACTGTTATCGTTTTAAACAAAACACATTCGAAAATCAGCAAGCTGTTCGGTAAGTGAAACACATTAAGTGTTATAGAGAAAATTATGACATAGGTGCCTCAAGTTGAAAAAAAAACTGCTGTGTATCTTGTTGTAGTTGTCTGTTGCTGTTTTTTTTTTTTCAATTAAAAAAAAACAACTTTTTAACTAAAATATTCCATAAGTTAATTTGCAGCTATTTAATAGGGTAGCTAAGTGCAAATTGAGTTGATACCTAATTTTCCAGTTTTAAGGGTAATTTGTGCAGACGATAAAATATGTGGTTTTTGCCTGTTTTAAGATTCCAGTTTTAAATTAAACATGTGGTTTCTGCCCGCTTTAAGGTTATTCCAAGAACACAACGGCTTAAAAGTGACCGGAAAAATTGACAAAAAAACTTGGCAGCTAATGAACAAGCCGAGATGTGGAGTACCAGACATGGGGGAGATGAGGAGCCCCCCTAGACGGGCGACCTTCACCCCTCGCAAGATGAGGGTCAAGATGGATCGTCTGAGTGCGAGAAGTCGTAGCCTCGATCTGGGTGAGTTTATTTTTACACGCTTGACATTTGATATTGGTCAACATTTTAGATTGGATCTTTGGCAAATGGTAACATCAAATAATTGACAAAAGTTAACAATTGAATTTTGCAAATGTTAACATTTGAATAAGAAGAATTTGAATATTGATTTTTTAAATGCTAATATTTAAAGAAAAATGTTAGCTTTTTTAATTTTGACAAAATGTTAACATACACGACAGAAGAAACGCCTAAAAGATCCGGACGTAAAAGACGCGAGACGCTCCACAAGTGGGACAATAACGCTGTGACCTTTAACCCAAGAACCTTCTCCTACAGACTGCCTATTGATGCCCAAAAGTAAGTAAAAACGGTTCAAGTTGGCCAGGTATGCCATCTAGATGATGTCCGTTGTTGATCACACAGTGGGGTGTTTGTTTCAAGACGTCATCATATTGTAAAGATGAACGAATTGTGGTAGAAAAAAACATTACAATAGATTGCTATCGATTTCATGACTTAACTGTATCGATAAATCGTAGCATCGTAAGGTATAGGCTCCCTTACAGTCTCACTGTCACCTATAGTGGCAAACATAGACACACACTGACATTCATACTGATGTACACAGACATTCGGACACACACCAACATAGACACACAATCACAAGCATTCGGACACACGTACAGACACACATGGCAACACACACAGACAAACACACACACACACTTAGATACACTACATGAACGTGTTGACCCATACCCAGAAAAAATATTTTAAAACATCTAATCAATCTACCTTAATTAAAATTAGCTGGACCATCTTTTGGCAAACTATCGTAATATTAAAATAAAGTAGAAACTGTTAACAATTGAATACCTATAGCCGCTCAAGGTGGTGTGAAACTGCCGCTACCTAACGTTGTAACACCCAGAGGCGTAGCGACCCTTCCCGGCGCCCGAGGACAAACTTTCGATTTGCACCCCCCCCCACTCGAACTTTTCATTTGCACCCCCCCTCAAACTTTCGATTTGCACCCCCCCCCCCTCGAACTTTTGGTTTGCACCCCCCCCCTCAAACTTTCAATTTGGCGCCCCCCCCCTAAGGTCAGCGCCCGGGGACATGTGCCCCGCCCCCCCCCCCCCCCTCGCTACGCCTCTGGTAACACCGCTATGTATGTATGTATGTATGTCTATCAAAGGGTTGAGGATATGTGGGGCAGCATAATATACTCGCGTTGGCCTCGGGCACAAACATGCTTTCACCCCCCCCCCCCCCACCCCCGGGCTCTAATTGATGATAACATGAAGCCTGTCATAACATTTAATTGGTTTGAAAACCTGACTAATTTAAGTTATGAGCAACTATTTACGAGAAACATGCAGAGCAATTTAAAGCATGTCAAACATCTCGAACATTAAAATTTGGCGCTTTTTTTTTTCCGCCTTCAGGGCAAACCGTTTTCTTTTTCACTAGAAATGTCGTGTAAATGAACTCTAATTATCGTGTAAATTTCGGGCAAGAATCTTGTAAAATATCGTACAAATTTCATGTAAATATAGTACTAATGTCTAAACATAGCACTAATGAGATGTAAAAATCGAATAAATGAGTTTTCTTTTATAACAAGTTTATTTTATATTTTTATTATGATTTAACAGTTGTAAAAAAAAATGTCCGTCTTGTTTGTTGAACATCAGACAAATTTTTGCCGAGGCGTTCAGACGCTGGTCGATGCCCAGTCAGCTGACCGTGTCTAAATCATCGAAAGTTGGGGACATCGACATCATCTTCGCTAGCAGAAACCACGGAGATGGAGATGCTAACGCGTTTGATGGTAGAGGTAGGTGGTGCTAGTCTTGATGGTAGAGGTAGGTGGTGCTAGTCTTAATGGTAGAGGTAGGTGGTGCTAGTCTTAATGGTAGAGGTAGGTGGTGCTAGTCTAGATGGTAGAGGAAGGTGGTGCTGGTCTTAATAGGTAGGTGGTGCTAGTCTAGATGGTAGAGGTGGGTGGTGCTAGTCTTAAGAGGTAGGTGGTGGTAGTCTCGATGGTAGAGGTAGGTGGTGCTAGTCTAGATGGTAGAGGTAGGTGGTGCTAGTCTTGATGGTAGAGGTAGGTGGTGAAAGTCTAAATGGTAGAGGTATGTGGTGCTAGTCTTGATGGTAGAGGTATGTGGTGCTAGTCTTGATGGTAGAGGTAGGTGGTGCTAGTCTTGATGGTAGAGGTAGGTGGTGCTAGTCTTGATGGTAGAGGTAGGTGGTGCTAGTCTAGATGGTAGAGGTAGGTGGTGCTAGTCTTGATGGTAGAGGAAGGTGGTGCTGGTCTTAATAGGTAGGTGGTGCTAGTTTAGATGGTAGAGGTGGGTGGTGCTAGTCTTAATAGGTAGGTGGTGGTAGTCTCGATGGTAGAGGTAGGTGGTGCTAGTCTAGATGGTAGAGGTAGGTGGTGCTAGTCTTGATGGTAGAGGTAGGTGGTGCTAGTCTTGATGGTAGAGGTAGGGGGTGAAAGTCTAAATGGTAGAGGTATGTGGTGCTAGTCTTGATGGTAGAGGTAGCTGGTGCTAGTCTTGATGGTAGAGGTAGGTGGTGCTAGTCTTGATGGTAGAGGTAGGTGGTGCTAGTCTTGATGGTAGAGGTAGGTGGTGAAAGTCTAAATGGTAGAGGTATGTGGTGCTAGTCTTGATGGTAGAGGTATGTGGTGCTAGTCTTGATGGTAGAGGTAGGTGGTGCTAGTCTAGATGGTAGAGGTAGGTGGTGAAAGTCTAAATGGTAGATGTTGTGTTAGCTGTACTACTAAAGGTGCTCAATGTTTTTATTGAATTTTCCTCTAACATCGACAAAAATAGCCTTAAAAGTTCATGTAACACAATTGACTTTATGAAGTCACGCAGCAGAATGACTCCAGTCATGTGACACCTTTACTTCTCCAGGTATGCTTCTAGCACACGCCTACCCACCAGGTGATGTCGAGGTGTCAGGTGACATTCACTTTGACCTTGACGAAAACTGGGGCTGGAAGGTCAACCGGACCGACACGCATGACTTGATGATGGTCGCCATGCACGAGGCGGGGCACTCGCTGGGATTAGCTCACTCTAGAAACGTGAGTTACCTCACTCTAGAATATGAGTTACCTCACTCTAGAAACGTGAGTTACCTCACTCTAGAAACGTGAGTTACCTCACTCTAGAAACGTGAGTTACCTCACTCTAGAAACGTGAGTTACCTCACTCTAGAAACGTGAGTTAGTTACCTCACTCTAGAAACGTGAGTTACCTCACTCTAGAAACGTGAGTTACCTCACTCTAGAAACGTGAGTTACCTCACTCTAGAAACGTGAGTTACCTCACTCTAAAAACGTGAGTTACCTCACTCTAGAAACGTGAGTTACCTCACTCTAGAAACGTGAGTTAGTTACCTCACTCTAGAAACGTGAGTTACCTCACTCTAGAAACGTGAGTTACCTCACTCTAGAAACGTGAGTTACCTCACTCTAGAAACGTGAGTTACCTCACTCTAAAAACGTGAGTTACATCACTCTAGAAACGTGAGTTACCTCACTCTAGAAACGTGAGTTACCTCACTCTAGAAACGTGAGTTAGTTACTTCACTCTAGAAACGTGAGTTACCTCACTCTAGAAACGTGAGTTAGTTACCTCACTCTAGAAACGTGAGTTACCTCACTCTAGAAACGTGAGTTACCTCACTCTAGAAACGTGAGTTACCTCACTCTAGAAACGTGAGTTACCTCACTCTAGAAACGTGAGTTAGTTACCTCACTCTAGAAACGTGAGTTACCTCACTCTAGAAACGTGAGTTAGTTACCTCAGTCTAGAAACGTGAGTTAGTTACCTCACTCTAGAAACGTGAGTTAGTTACCTCACTCTAGAAACGTGAGTTAGTTACCTCACTCTAGAAACGTGAGTTACCTCACTCTAGAAACGTGAGTTAGTTACCTCACTCTAGAAACGTGAGTTAGTTACCTCACTCTAGAAACGTGAGTTACCTCACTCTAGAAACGTGAGTTAGTTACCTCACTCTAGAAACGTGAGTTAGTTACCTCACTCTAGAAACGTGAGTTACCTCACTCTAGAAACGTGAGTTAGTTACCTCACTCTAGAAACGTGAGTTAGTTACCTCACTCTAGAAACGTGAGTTACCTCACTCTAGAAACGTGAGTTAGTTACCTCACTCTAGAAACGTGAGTTACCTCACTCTAGAAACGTGAGTTAGTTACCTCACTCTAGAAACGTGAGTTAGTTACCTCACTCTAGAAACGTGAGTTACCTCACTCTAGAAACGTGAGTTAGTTACCTCAGTCTAGAAACGTGAGTTAGTTACCTCACTCTAGAAACGTGAGTTAGTTACCTCACTCTAGAAACGTGAGGAGATATGTTTTGTTATAGAGAGGGAGAGGGGAGAAAGGTTTTGTTAAAGGGAGGGAGAGGGGAGAAAGGTTTTGTTAAAGAGAGGGAGAGAGGAGAAAATGTTATGTTAAAGAGAGGGAGAGAGGAGAAAGGTTTTGTTAAAGGGAGGGAGAGAGGAGAAAGGTTTTGTTAAAGAGAGGGAGAGAGGAGAAAGGTTTTGTTAAAGAGAGGGGAGAGAGGAGAAAATGTTATGTTAAAGAGAGGGAGAGAGGAGAAAGGTTTTGTTAAAGGGAGGGAGAGGGGAGAAAGGTTTTGTTAAAGAGAGGGAGAGAGGAGAAAGGTTTTGTTAAAGAGAGGGGAGAGAGGAGAAAAGGTTATGTTAAAGAGAGGGAGAGAGGAGAAAAGGTTATGTTAAAGGCAGTCCATCTCCACAGAGAAACGACATCATGTTCGCCTCGTACTTGGACTACGACCCTGATCCACAACTCAACTCTGGCGACATCGCTATTTTACAGAAACTTTACGGTAAGCTGACGTGCTATTTTACAGAAACTTTACGGTAAGCTGACGTCACTGTTTTACAGAAACTTTACGGTAAGCTGACGTCACTATTTTACAGAAACTTTACGGTAAGCTGACGTCACTTTTTTACAAGGCGGACTAATTAGGGTGATGTAACCCAAAACAAGTTAATTAAAAAGTCTAGTGACAATTTTAGCGCAATTTCCTTATGTTATCTAAAAATAGCTCTGTCGTAGCGTAAATCAAGAGCAGGGTTAGTAAAACCATTGGTTAGTTATTAAAACGTTTTTTATTTTTAAAAATTTTCAGTATTTTACATGTTTTATTTACAATAGAGTTACATGACTAAAAACCATTGCACGCCTAGCTACTGAACGTGATGACGAAGCCATAGAACGTGATGGTGCAGCTATTGAACGTGATGACGCGTGTGGTGTGGTTGGAAAAAATGCCTACTAATTCGGTCCAAATTTTAATTAATTCAAAAAATTTTTTGTGACCGAACGAAAGGATATTTTTGAAAACTTTCTTCGGCAATATTGTTCTAAATTATGGCAGGAATCGATTGGTACATGTTTCAAGTCGCTAAGTGGTCTGGTTGCCGAGATATGGGCCAAAAACTGCATTTTTTCGAGGTTTTTTGGCTTTTCTGGGAAATCCATGAAAGAAACCCGGAATTTTTATGGCCTATGTTCATCCTCGTAACTTGCTTAACATAATTGCTTTTGGAACTAGTCATCGATATTGCTTTGTTGAGGAGGAGATACGACTTAAAGCCCGGACACACATTCATCCATACATTCATTCATCCATTCATTCATCCATCCATTCCCAGAAATGACGAGTTAATAAACGCAATTCTCCAGAATGGAAATTGCGCTAAAAATGTCGCCTATTCCTGCCAAATGTGTTGTGATGTAACCCAAAAATGTCGCCTATTCCCCAGGTAAACGACCAGGTTTTGTCCAGTCGCCGAGGAAAAAAAAATTCTTTGATAAAAAAAACAAAAAGCTGCCTAAATCTTGTCGGATAAATTTTAACGACGTTTTTGTAGGTAAGTCAAGCATTGTCTACTGACGTCAAATGTTTTTAAAAAATCTAATTTCTTAACTTTATTTAGTAGAACCTCGGTCTGAATTGTTTCTTTCGACCCGGAAGTGTTTGTAATTCCTCTTTGTTTGAGCTTCATTAATATTCTTATGTACCTGTAGATTCGAAGTGTTAGGTAGTGGATACCCGTGGACATGACTGACCAAGTGTCAGATGACCCATGGACATGACTGACCAAGTGTCAGATGACCCCTAGATATGACTGACCAAGTGTCAGATGACCCCTGGACATGACTGACCAAGTGTCAGATGACCCCTAGATATGACTGACCAAGTGTCAAGTAGAGGTGACACACGGACATGACTGACCAAGTGTCAGATAACCCCTGGGCATGACTGACCAAATGTCAGATGACCCCTGGACATGACTGACCAAGTGTCAGATAACCCCTGGACATGACTGACCAAGTGTCAGATGACCCCTGGACATGACTGATCAAGTGTCAGATGACCCCTGGACATGACTGATCAAGTGTCAGATGACCCCTGATATGGCTGACTCAACTGACCTCTGGACATGACTGATTCTGCCACTGGACCACAGACAAACCAAAAGTTAAAATACGCCAATGATGAGCCAAAGCAAACATGAAATGTACTCCTCTGTTTACGTATCCAGGGCATAGAGGAAGTATTTTAAGGTTAGGTTAACCTGTCACCCCCTCCTGTGACATAGGCCGCTGACAAGAGTTTTCCAGGCATCTCTGTCCTGGGCTATGATTGGTAAGGTTAGGTTAACCTTGGTGTCTTCTTCTTCCAGGTCACTTCTCCAGATCTTCCTTGGTCTCTTTTCCTTTAGCTCCGTGGATTCAAAGTCTTGTTATGCTGGATACAGGCTCCTGAGTATCTGGCCAATCCATGTCCATCTGTCTTGTTATGCTGGATACAGGCTCCTGAGTATCTGGCCAATCCATCTCCATCTGTCTTGTTATGCTGGATACAGGCTTCTTGAGTATCTGGCCAATCCATCTGTCTTGTTATGCTGGATACAGGCTCCTGAGTATCTGGCCAATCCATCTCCATCTGTCTTGTTATGCTGGATACAGGCTCCTGAGTATCTGGTCAATCCATCTCCATCTGTCTTGTTATGCTGGATACAGGCTCCTGAGTATCTGGCCAATCCATCTCCATCTGTCTTGTTATGCTGGATACAGGCTCCTGAGTATCTGGCCAATCCATCTGTCTTGTTATGCTGGATACAGGCTCCTGAGTATCTGGCCAATCCATCTGTCTTGTTATGCTGGATACAGGCTCCTGAGTATCTGGCCAATCCATCTCCATCTGTCTTGTTATGCTGGATACAGGCTCCTGAGTATCTGGCCAATCCATCTGTCTTGTTATGCTGGATACAGGCTCCTGAGTATCTGGCCAATCCATCTCCATCTGTCTTGTTATGCTGGATACAGGCTCCTGAGTATCTGGCCAATCCATCTGTCTTGTTATGCTGGATACAGGCTCCTGAGTATCTGGCCAATCCATCTCCATCTGTCTTGTTATGCTGGATACAGGCTCCTGAGTATCTGGCCAATCCATCTGTCTTGTTATGCTGGATACAGGCTCCTGAGTATCTGGCCAATCCATCTCCATCTGTCTTGTTATGCTGGATACAGGCTCCTGAGTATCTGGCCAATCCATCTGTCTTGTTATGCTGGATACAGGCTCCTGAGTATCTGGCCAATCCATCTGTCTTGTTATGCTGGATACAGGCTCCTGAGTATCTGGCCAATCCATCTCCATCTGTCTTGTTATGCTGGATACAGGCTCCTGAGTATCTGGCCAATCCATCTGTCTTGTTATGCTGGATACAGGCTCCTGAGTATCTGGCCAATCCATCTGTCTTGTTATGCTGGATACAGGCTCCTGAGTATCTGGCCAATCCATCTCCATCTGTCTTGTTATGCTGGATACAGGCTCCTGAGTATCTGGCCAATCCATCTGTCTTGTTATGCTGGATACAGGCTCCTGATTATCTGGCCAATCCATCTCCATCTGTCTTGTTATGCTGGATACAGTGAGTATCTGGCAAATCCATCTCCATCTGTCTTGTTATGCTGGATACAGGCTTCTGAGTATCTGGCCAATCCATCTCCATCTGTCTTGTTATGCTGGATACAGGCTCCTGAGTATCTGGCCAATCCATCTGTCTTGTTATGCTGGATACAGTGAGTATCTGGCCAATCCATCTCCATCTGTCTTGTTATGCTGGATACAGGCTCCTGAGTATCTGGCCAATCCATCTCCATCTGTCTTGTTATGCTGGATACAGGCTCCTGAGTATCTGGCCAATCCATCTGTCTTGTTATGCTGGATACAGTGAGTATCTGGCCAATCCATCTGTCTTGTTATGCTGGATACAGTGAGTATCTGGCCAATCCATCTGTCTTGTTATGCTGGATACAGGCTTCTGAGTATCTGGCCAATCCATCTCCATCTGTCTTGTTATGCTGGATACAGGCATCTGAGTATCTGGCAAATCCATCTCCATTTTCTTTGTAGGATCTCTTCTTCAGCTGGCAGTTGGTTTGTCTGTTGCCATAGTACCTCATTTCTGATGGTGAAAAGCCAACGTCTTCAAAAATCTTTCTGAGGAATGTATTTTCTGCTTATTTGTGGCAGTTATTCTCCATGTCTGTCTAGACTATCAAAAACCTTCTTGTAATCTAGGAAGTTAATGCACAAAAAGGATTCGCAAGGTAGCAATTTGGTCTATACATGACCTTTCCTTCCTAAAGCCCGTCTGTTGATCTCGAATTTGGGGGTCTATCGTTTCCTTCATCCTGTTTGATAATATTCTGTTGAAGACATTGCCTGGGATGGACAAAGTGTTAATCCTGTGCAGTCAGAGCATGCACCAAGATCGCCTTTTTTTTTTGAAGTTTTATGAGTAGAATTTTAAACTATTTTCGGGAACCAGAAGTGGTACTTTATACTCTAATTCCAATTTCTAAAATACTGATAACTTGAGTATCGTGTCAGTTGGGTGCTAGTTCTATTAAATTTTGAATATTTCCTCTATTTCCGATTTCTTTTTAAAGTCATACTTTTTAAAGGAATGTATTCATAGAACTTTTCACCTCTAGATCTATGTGTTTTCTCAAACTTCCTTATTTCTACAGCCCGACTTTACTGGGAGCCCCATAACAATCTCTATTGTTATGTAAGAATATATGAGAAAGTTTATGGGAGCTTGCATTATTTTAAATGTGTAATCTAAAATATTTTTGCTTTATAGTTGTAATTTTCTCACTAATGAGTATTCGTTGAAAATGAGTGATTTGAAAAAGTTATTTTTATTTCATTTACTTGCGGTTATTTTCGGGTATTTCAGTTGAAAACGGTTGGATGAATTTGTAACGAGCATCGATACCGTAAAGATCTCTCCCCTTTTTCCACTCGTTAATTACCAGCTCTAATGCTGGCAAACACTCAATGTAATTTAACGAACCGTCGTTGGCCTTGATGTTAATTTTTTAAATGTAGAGCAGGTATCATCAAGCACCCAGTCAAAATATTAACCGGTTGATTTTTTTTTTTACTTTTGAAAAATAAGTTTTTTATGTTGAATGATCTACTTTCTGCGGCTAACGTAGGGCAACAACATGTGAGCTATTAATAGCTGGGGGGTCAGTGTACTCACGTCTAGGGGCGCCAGGTGCCGCTCGCACCCCATGACTTGGGCACCAATAAAATGGAGTCAAGTGACCCCCCCCCCTCCCCCCCCCCACACGAACACACACACGTACACCAACCACACTGGTTTCTTATTATGAGTGAGGACATTTTCAATCTAAGCAATTAAAATTATCTTCCTGATTAATTAGGTCACAACTAGCACACTGCGTCCATCGTCGCGCACCACAAGAGCTTTTCGTCAAAGATAAATATTTCTGTAGATGTGACTAGTCAAGGCTTTTGATGTTGTCTGCAAGTCTTCCTATGAATATTAGATAAGCAATCGTTCATGGTGCAGAAAATATGGCTTGATATGACGGTAGAACGAAAGTTTCGAGTTCGGATCCCGGGTTTGAGTCTGTATGTCTTCCTGGGGTTCACCCAGCTCTAATGGGTACCTGACTCACGTCAGGGAAAGTAAAGGTGACTGGGCATAGTGACGACTTCAATATCGCTTCGTATTCCAAGATAACAGAAACAAGTGAACTCTACTTCATGTGTCCTATTATTATTATGTGTTATCAGGTCCGAAATGGTAACTTTAGTTGTGTTTTTTACTGCCATACCTAATATCATTACTTAACTTTTTTTTTAATTTTTATAGTTTCAACCACTTTTAACTTGAGCAAATCCTCTCATGGCAGGGCCGAACAAGGAAAATTACGTCATTTCCGGGAAAAACATTTACCAGATTACAAACAAGGGCGTGCTGCCAGGCTACCCAGTGCACATAGGTCACGTGTTTCCCGGCGCACCAACCAACGCCGCTGTTGTCTTCTACGTCAATGATATCAAAAAAACATTTTTCTTAAAAGGTGAGAATCGCTAGGGTTTTTACAAGCATGATTTTTTAGTATTCATACCTTTCTCATCCATACCTTTCTCATCCATACCTTTCTCATCCATACCTTTCTCATTCATACCTTTCTCATCCATACCTTTCTCATTCATACATTTCTCATTCATACCTTTCTCATTCATACCTTTCTCATTCATACCTTTCTCATTCATACCTTTCTCATTCATACCTTTCTATGAGTAGTGGGAGAAAAAATAGCGTACCAGAAATTCAGTTTCCCAAAAATGACTGTGTGAGTAGTGAGTAAACGTTGATTCGTGTGTCTGATAAAAAAAATAGTGGGAGTGATCTCCCCTTAAACTTTCTCGAATACACTTATAGAACACAAGGGGGGGGGGGGGGGGGGGTGGCAACTCGGGGTATAGACATGACTTTTTATCAATTTTTAATTACTTAAACTTTTTTATATAGAATAGAATCTCATAGAAAAAATAATTGCGCACCAAGTGAACAGCAAACACTGTGTGTATAATAGTGCAGAATATTATTACTTTATCAATTTCTATGCGCATTTTTTTAGAAATAAAAAATGACGTAAAGTACTACTTCCGTTCACCGGAAATGACTCAAAATTTTAGAAAAGGCAGAGAATTAAATTTCGTCTTTTCATCTGAAACAGTAGTCAAGTTATAGGCTTTTGAAATAGCAAAAGTAGAATAAGCTCTACTTCCGGTTACCGGAAATCACTGAAAAGTTAATACAGAACTACAAATTTGCTATAGTAATTATATATAAAATTACATCTATCTAGCTGTAACGGTACTAAACTTACCGTGTTCACAGACACACGGACACACAGACACACAGACACACACACAGACACACACACACACATACACACACATACACACCAGGGGCGGAACTACAGTGCCGCCAGACCCCGCAATGCGGGGGGGCCCAGGCCGATTGGGGCCCAAAAATCCTGGCTAAATTATACATTTTTTTTTTAATTTAAATAAAAAAAAATTAGGTGGATGTCGAGTTATCTTTCTTCTACAGTTACAAACAAACACGATAGTCGGCAAACGTCTTTGAGAAAAATGCACAGACTATAGCTCGAGAGACCGCCAGACATATAGACAACTTCAAAGACGCAACCTACCGTTCTTTTTTAGTGGCGTCGATTAGGAGAACAAAAAAGCTTTGAAAATCGAGCTGGGGAAATGTTGCGGCGACTATCCTGGTCTTATAGATGACCGGAAAAAGTCGGCGCTATTGATGTAGATGTTCATCGGCGCTTTCTTGTCCCCTTCCCTTGAACCTTCCCAACTCTCTACCCTCCCCCCCCCCCCCCATCCCTCTAACCTCTACCCCTCACCACACCCTTACTTTTACAATAAGATGTAATGCATAGATTAACGAACCGTCTATGAACTACTGAACTGTAAACTGACCACTTCTGCACATTTTGTTAAAGACACTAGTCAGTAGTTGTTCATTTACCTGATGAAGTATTTCGTTGACGAATCTAATTCACACAACAAGGAAGGTAAGACTCGTCTTTATATTATTAATCGTTTTATAATTAGTACACATATTAATGGAACATTAGTTATTAACACTAAATACATTAAAGTTAAATTTTTTTAGGATACAATGATCTAGCTTTTAAGCCTAAAAATAACCAAAAGATCTATACAGGGGCGGAACTACAGTGCCGCCAGACCCCGCAATGCGGGTGGGGGGCGGGTGGGGGGCGGGTGGGGGGGGGCAGGCCGTTTAGGGGCCCACTGCTGACCATAATAGTTAGTATTTTTTTTAATTTTGAATTTAATTTTCGTGCATTTTTGCCTTGATATTTAGTTTGTAAAAGAAAAACACTGTAGCTGCGGTACGATTATCTTTATTTTACAGTCACTATACCACGCTCTTCAGCAAAAAAATAAAATCCATTACACAAAATACAGTGTAAAATATAGGCAACGCTTCAAATTTGAATGACACATTTGACTCGTTGCCCCCCTTTGATAGCTAAATAGAGGACACGTAACTGTTTGACCGATCCTCCAAAGTGTACTGTGGCGGATGGGGCAGGGGATGGGGATCAAATTTCTTTTTATTTATAGTTGTATTTTTTAAGGCCGTCAAGGCCGAGTTCTATTTCCCCACAATCAAACACACGCTGTCGCCGGCAAAATTCTTTTTAAAAAAACAACAAAGACCATAGCACGAGAAGCCGCTACATATGAAGTGGCTTTCATGATGCGCGGTTCTACTTTGCGGCATAAGTTAGGGACCCGCCGAAATCCATTGTACATTTTTCAATGTTAATATGTGTTTGTGATAGTGGTTGAATTTGTATTCTGTACTATCTTGAATCCTACAAATAATAAAAAAGAATATAATACTAGAAACTTCGTTTTTATATACGTTTACTTGTTTTTTACTTTTACAAGAAATATCATAGTAAACTTTTAAGGCCTATACTTGGAATTATCTCCCCTGAGTAAGTTTTTTA